TGCAGCCTGGGCATCGTTCAGCACGCCGTCCGCGAACATGGCGGGAGGGACCGGTCGCGAACTGCGCCCCCCCTCAGCCGACCTGCCTCCCGCCCCCCGGCTGATCCGCGGGCACCTCCACCTGCGACCGATGAGCTGCTCCCCCCACCCCTAGCCGGCCCGTGGGCGCGTGAACCGGCGGCCGACGAGCCGCGTCCACCACCCGCACCTGATCCGCGGCCACGTCCACTGGCGACCGACGACCTCCCCCCGCCACCCCCAGCCGAGCCGCCATCACGCCCAACACCCCGTGCCCCGGCTTTTTTGCTGCCGCCCCGGGCTCCCCCCGCGGAAGCAGAGACACCCGAAGCTCGGTCCCGTTCGGTAAGCGCGGCCTGGACTTTCGCCTTCCCGACCGTGTTCCCATGCAGTCTCTGCTCCTTCGCCGCCTGCATGTACTTGATGGAGAGCATAAGGTTGTACGTCTGCATCGGGGAGGGAAGCGAAACAGACGCGACGGAAACAAAGTCGTTTCGTGCTTTGTGAGAGTTCGGAACCATGGCCCAACACCCTAACCCTCCCCGGATTCTCACACGCCTACAACCTCCGCGAACTTTGTGCGGTGTAGACATTACACAGCCTGCCCATCGAACCTCCGAACCCAAACAGTCGACGCGACTGCTGTCTAACCAGTGACCCATGTCTACTACCCATCTCATGATCGATGATTTAACACGTATGGTCCGTACATCGCCCACCGACCTGCCCGTGACCCTATACACGATTAAACAATTATACCACCCGCCTTACCTCAGAGTCCTTCGCCTGCATCTCGTTCGCCTCCTCCGCGGTCATCGTCCCTTCCCCGGTCTGCTTCCCGGCGTCCTTCTCCTCCTTCAAGTACGCGTTCTTGCGCTTGTTCCATCCTCTCTCGATGGTATCCCTCAGCTTGTGCTTGTCCACCGGATCCTGAAGGGATCAGCGAGCGGGTGGAGACAGCACGGGGAGGGGGGCGAGAGGAGGGTGTCAGGGGGAGCCGTATTTTTTTTCTTTTTCGGGGAGGGGATGAGGGGCAAGGGCATCGTGCTCTAACATCTACGGCATGACATGTCCAAACGTCGACCGCAACTAACACACCAAGAAACGCAACAGAACAGAATCACGACGTGCACAGGAGGCATAAACCTTTCTCTCTTGGTCACTCTCGCCAAGTCAACCACACGGCCTAGTCGCGAGTAAAAACGGTCCCTTCCCTGCCCCCTAACCACTCGCCCTCTCCCCCCTTCCCGTACGATGTGGACTCAGAAATCGTTGCTCCATATGCCCATAATATGTGCCGTACCGCGGGTTCTTACCCGGCCGCGCTGGAAGTCCACCCGCACTTTGCGGCTCTTCCCCTCCGACCACGTGGTGATTTCCTTCGGCACTAAGAAGTCGTCCACCACGTCCATCCACGACTGCCCCCTCAGGCCGTTGTCGCTCTGCCCCCACGGACAATGTTTCCCGATGCCCAAGAAAGCACTCTCCCACTCGCCGTCCCTCGACATGGGCCTGTCGTTCTTCATGTGACCTGCACCCCAGGCACGCGTCGACAAGAACGATGCCGCCACACAACGGTCAGCGTTATGGTGGGGAGATCATGCACCGTGTTCAGATACCCAATCTCTGGCTCAGGACATCAGAACACCCAACGATCTGCACTTCGACTCCATGCCTACAGCTGGATTTGAACACGTGCTGCGTCCCAATACGTGGTACACATGTCCATACGCGAAATTGTGGTAGCGTCTAAGCAGACAGGAGAGGCACAAACGACGCACACAGCACCCAACTATCACAACCCAACAGTTAGTCCGTCATAGCCCCGAAGCAATTACAAACGCGAATCAAAGGGAGAGCAACACCTTCCCCGGATAAGGGCGGTCTTCGACACACAATCGGTATGGGAACGAATGGAGTGAGCGGCGCATACATAAATTATATCACGAGCATGATTGCCGCCGTCCCAGAGACGGT